TGTCTGTGAAATCAGGGTAAAACCCACACCTCAAGCATTTACTAAGAACACAAGATGTTCTAATTAGTGGTTTGGCCTATCTGGTCGCGGTTAACTTTGTCTGGTTTATCGGCGTTCTGAATTCATCAGCAGCCTTAGATCATGTCGCGCTACTCCCATTGGTTTTGCTCTTCAGCATTGCTGTACTGAAGTTTGAAAATCCAGGTATTCATGGCAAACGTATGCTTGTTGTGGCTTTTTTATCAGCTCGCTACGCGTTTCTGGTGGTCATGGCGCTTCTTGCAACGGCTTACTTTGGAAAGCTGGATTTTGTCAGCCGTTACGCTGTTGGATTGTACGGTTTTCTGCTTGCGACGGGTTTGCTCAGTAACAGACTGTTTCTGCGTTGGTGGTATTTCACAGGTCGCAGGGAGCATCCTGAGAACTTTCTTCAGGTGCTGGTGATTGGCACGGGCAACCGGGCTAACAACCTGATGCAGTCTTACAAGGACAATTCAGAGTGGGGTATCAGCGTTATTGGTGCACTAGACCCTGCCGGTGAGAATCAGGCGGCGTCAAAACTTGCTGACGATGTGCCGCTGCTGGGTGATGTGTCAGAGATCCGCAAGGTCATTACTGACCAGGTAGTCGACGAGGTCATAATCTGCCTGCCGAGATCATTGCTCAACAATGTTTCTGTTGTCATCGACGCCTGTGCGGAGGAGGGTGTGTGTATCAAATTCCTTGCTGACCTTTACGAAATTGAAGGGGGTTCGTACCAGTTGGAACAGATAGGTAGCTGGCCGGTTTTGAGTCTTAATCCAATTTCTAGAAGTGAAAACTCATTAATTATCAAACGGATAGTCGACTTAGTTGTAGCAATTCCTGTTTTACTGCTGCTGGCACCATTGTTCCTGATAACCGCCCTTGCCATCAAACTTGAATCCCGCGGGCCTGTTTTCTTCAAACAATCCAGAGTCGGTTTAAACAAGCGCAAATTCAACATGATCAAGTTCCGCAGCATGTATGAAGATGCGGAACAGCGCCTGGCGGAAATCGAGCATCTGAACGAAGCTGACGGCCCCATCTTCAAGATGAAAAACGATCCTCGTGTGACTCGTGTTGGACGGATGATCCGTCGTACCAGCATTGATGAACTGCCACAGCTGTTTAACGTGCTCCTGGGTCAAATGAGCCTGGTTGGTCCAAGACCCATGTCATTGCGTGATGTCAGCCTGTTCAGCAAAGGTGTTCAGCGCAAACGCTTCAGCGTCAGACCTGGACTTGCATGTTTGCGCGAGGTATCAGGTCGTAGTGCGTTGAGTTTCGAACAGTGGCTTGCGCTGGACTTGAAGTACATCAGTACCTGGTCATTGTGGCTCGACTTCAAGATCATGCTTTTACTGATTCCTGCAGTGATCAAAGGTGACGGCGCCACATAATCTCAATATCTAAAGTGCGCATAATATATATTATGTTAAATAAGATGAATTTTTAGACTATCCCTCTACCTAGCGAACCAATACCTGAGTGATAAGGCTCACTTCACTAACGATTGCTTCGGGTGCCCTTTCGATAAACTCCACAAAGCGACTTTCATAATCCAGCGATCTAATCTGGGCCAGGAGTATCGCTCCCTGGGTCTTTGTTCCCTCCAATCTCACTTCTAGGTTTATCCCGCGAATCCTGCTGGTAATTGGAGCGACGATGGCAAGACCTGTGTGATTATTGAATTCTTCTCTCGAAAGAATATAGGCTGGTCTGTTATTGGTAATTTCGCGACCGGCACTTGGGTCAAAGTTAAGCCACACGATGTCACCTTGCTTAGGTACGTACATCAAATTTCTTTGCCGACGGGTTTAGCGTCTACCCATGTGCGATCTTCGATAGACAAAACAAAATCTTCTTTTTTGCTGTCTGCCAGTAGTTGATCTAACGTGATGCTATCTTCAGTGGGTGTTAGGACGATCCTGTTGTCTTCCAGAGTGACGTCCAATTTAGACCCGACGGAGAGTCCTAGGGCCTGCACAATAGACTTGGGGAGGCTCACAATGTTGGCTCCACCTGATTGTCTTATTGAGATTGATCTGGTGTTCATAGAGGGCTCTTTGATGGGTGATGTCGATATGCAAGCCTAACACTTGGTTATACTTTAGTAAAACATTAACAATGACGTTGACCACAAGATACCCTCCCTCAATACTGCAGAAAATAATTACTAGAAGTCCTGATGGTTCGAAACGCGCGAACCCAACTTTTCCCTAATGTTCTAGCTTCTGGTTTGAGCTACCTGGCCGCTATTGGTGTCGGCTTTGTTATGCCACGGATTATTTATGAGTCTGTTGGCCAGCAGTCTTTGGGAATTTGGGATTTAGGTTGGTCATTTCTTATCTATGTCTCGTTCTCCGGTATCGGCTTTGGCCAGGCCGTTGCCTATTTCATTGCTCGTCACGATGCTGAGCGACAACATTCGGAAGTTACCTCTATCTGCGCAACTGGCTGGTGGGCGCAGTGTATTGTCGGTCTGGTTGGGGCAGCTTCGTTTGCGTTGTTAATGTATCTGGCTGGAACCTCACACAGTGACAATCCGGCGTTAATGGACGAAATTGCCAAGATCACAACGTTTATGTCTCTGGCTGTTGGTGCCGTCATGTTTGGCGACATAGCTCATGGTGTGTTGATTGGCAAACATGAATCCCGAATCTCGGAATACATCAATCTGGTACATGACCTGCTCCTTGCTTGTGCGATGGTCGTAGCGCTGTTACTTGGCTATGGCATTCAAGGGCTTGCTGCAGTGACCTTAATATTGCGAGTTTGTTCAGAGTCCATCCGGTACCTGTTTGCCTATCGGGTTTGCAAAGAAATGAGCATCAATCCTTTCCGTGTATCCATCAATAATGGTGCAGTTTTGTTGCGTTACTCGATGAAAACTTCAATCAACGTTTTGCAGGATCTGCTGGTACACCAGTCTATGAGGTTATTGCTTTTCCTGAGCATGGGCCCGTTAGTACTGGCCGCCTTTTCTCGTTACGCGACAATCATGCGACAAATAAATCGCCTGACAGATCGGCTTTCAATGTCATTGTCGACAGTAACAAGTGCTCTGGTTGCGTCAGGTGCTGAAGAAGAAGTTGTCAGTCTTTATGTGCAGGGCACTCGCATGGCGGTACTGATCAGTCTGCCACTATTGACGGTTTTTGCGGTCGCTGGCGACTTGATTGTAGCTCTCTGGATGGGGCCTGAATTTGTTATAGACCACGTTGCTGTTCTGTTGGCTGCCGGTGCCCTCCTCCACGCAAATTATTCTATCTCTTATCGTCTGTTGAGTGGTTTAAATGCGCACGGCCGCATAGGGCTGTTCAGCATATTTCTTTCAGGCCTTGGAGTTATGGTGGCCTTGTCGAGTATTGAAAATGTTAATGCGGTAAATGCAGCGTTTATTGTTGCCTTGGTCTTGTTAGTCACCGTACACATACCGCACATTTTATTCATGCTGTTCAAGGTCCACGCGAATCCGCTACGTCAGATTTTTGAGATATACGCAAAACCGATTGTCATAAATGCAGTTTTCCTACTGATATTGTTGTTGGCACGTTGGGTCGCGCTAGAGGTGAATGCTTATCTTGCAGGACTAATTGCCGCAGTTGCTTTTTTGGGCCTCTTTTGGGCCTCATGGAATTTTGTGGTCAATGCAGACCTGAAGTTGCGAATAAAAAGTTTTGTTCTTCGACAGGACAATTCCGAGACTGGAGTTTATTGAGCTATGGCTCACATGAGAATTTTTCGACATTACATTCACACGCCGTTTGTGATCACCGCTCTGCTTGAAGGAGCCGTTTTATTTTGTGCGGCTTTTTTGGGGCACTTCACCCGTTTTGGCGTGTTCCCCAGCTTGTCGGAACACTTCGGGTTTGCTCTGACGTTTGCCGGCGTGTTGTTATTTTTCATGGTGGCTATGGGGGTTTACGAAGCGCGTCTGCGCGAGGGGTACGTTGGTGTCATGTTACGTACCGCTGTTGCTGTGTTCCTGCTCGGGACCATCGGCATGGCGCTGGTTCTGTTTTTGTTTCCTGATCTTGTTCTCGGTCGCGGAGTTCTGTTGTTTGCCAGCATCGAAGGTTTTCTGTTAGTCGCTGCGTTGCGATGGATTACGTCAAATTTTATCGACGAAGACTTCATGAAATCCAGGGTACTTATTCTGGGCACCGGACAGCGGGCAGTCAAAGTGGCGAGCAGAATGCGTCGTCGTTCTGATCGGCGCGCCTTTGTGCTCGAAGGTTTTATGCAGCAGGAAGGTACGCCGAATCTGATCGCGGAGTTTGGCGCCAATGTCATTGCCTATCCTGAGGCAGGTCTCTCCGAGTACTGTCAGGTCAACGATGTGGATCAAATTGTGGTGGCCGCAGATGACCGGCGCGCCGATGGAGACAACGCTCCTGGTATACCTTTTGAAGAACTGATGGACTGCAGGCTCTCTGGTGTAGACATCTGTGAAGTGCAGAATTTCATAGAGCGGGAAGCCTGTAAAATTGATGTCGATCTGCTGCAGAGGTCCTGGTTGGTTTACTCAGACGGCTTTGTCACCAACTGGTACCGGGCTTTAGTCAAACGGACTTTTGATATTGCTGTTGCCTCTGTTCTGTTTATCGTGTTTTTGCCCATTATGCTGCTTTCAGGCATTGCCATTTTGATATGCGACAAATTCCAAGGCCCGCTTTTTTATCGGCAACAACGGGTAGGCAAAAATGGCACGCCGTTTACTGTCATTAAGTTCAGAACCATGCAGGTGGATGCCGAAGAAAGTGGCGCCATGTGGGCTGAATACAATGATCCGAGGACCACCCGGGTAGGTGCTTTCTTACGTCGCTCTCATCTTGATGAGCTCCCCCAGCTGATTAACGTCATAAAAGGTGACATGAGCATGGTGGGGCCACGTCCGGAACGACCGGTTTTTGTTGAGGAATTGAATGCCACAATTCCTTATTACGAAGAGCGGCATCGTATGCAACCCGGCATCACCGGTTGGGCGCAACTCTGTTACCCTTACGGCGCGTCCATCCAGGATGCAAAGGAAAAGCTCCAGTACGATCTGTATTATGTTAAAAACCACAGTATCCTGCTGGACATGATTATTCTGCTGCAGACTGTTGAGGTTGTTCTGGTTGGCGAAGGTTCTCGATAGAAAATCAGTCCTGAGGGTTGTGAGGGTATGATGAATCAGGAAGACATTGACGAATCTGCGGAGCAAGACAACTTGCCTCGTTCGAGGCTGCAGTTGTTATGGGACGTTCTGGTCTTCCAGGGAAAGCTTGCAGTGGATGGCTTTAGAGATCTGATATTGCTGCCAATCTCTATGTTCAGCGCTTTGTTCGGTTTGATTTTTGGTGGCTCTCAACCAGATCAATATTTTCAGCGCGTGCTTGAGTTTGGCCGGCGTACAGAACACTGGATCAACCTGTTTGGTAACCGTGAGAGTTCTGGAACTTCAGATGATATTCTCCGGCCGCTACAGGAGCGTGTTTTTGAAGAGGCCGAGGGGCGACCCTGGATTAAAAGTACGGGTGATGCGTTGAATCGGAAGCTTGATTCTGTTGCAGCCAGCGCCAATAAGAGGCGGCCCTCCTCGCCCGACAAATCAGAGTGAGACTACTCTGCTATCTGTTTATTAAATCAATAACAGCCTTTTTGCTTCAAAGCGCGTTCCCTTCCTCATCAACAGCTTCAAGTCTTAAGCCATCCGGGTCGAAAGTGAATTCGTCGGGCATCCAGGGTTGCAGACAGTTTTTATCACGTACACACGGATCTGTCAGCGCATCGAGAAAGGTGGCAAGCCAATCCACCTCTTCATCGGTTAATTGAATATTCACCAGGTCTGATTCGTTGCTGGCCTGCAGGCGCTCCAGCTGCTCTACTGCTGCTAACGTGTTACTTCGGAAATTGTCACTCTGCACGCCCGCCTCCAGCTGATTTGAATCATAATTATCAATTGCTGATCGCGGATTTGCGTGATGTCGGATGACGTCATTCAATGAATTGTAACCTCCAGCATGCCCGTAGGGTCCGGTAACGGCGACATTAAGGAGCGAAGGTGTGCGGAATGCGAACCGGTCCTGGTCTCGCTGGGTTTCGCGGAACCGCCCAAAATCTCCATCACCCGTAGGACCATCGCCTTTGCCGCGACCGATTTGTGGCATCGCTACCACATGAAAGTCTTCGTCAGTGAAAAAGTCGCCGCTGTGGCAGTTGCTGCATTGGGCTTTGCCAAAAAAGAGCACTGCCCCCAGCTTTGCCTGCGCAGACATGCCGTCAGTTTGTCCATCGAGAAATTGTTTCCAGGGTGTCTGCACAAACACTTGAGATTGCTCGTACTGCGCAATCGCATGAGTAATGTTGTCAAAAGTGATGAGCTCGGCAGCTGTTCCTCCTGCTTGAGCAAACCCTGCCTGAAATGCGTTGAGCCAGAAATTTTGCGCCAACTCATTGGTGTCTCCTCTGAGTCGGCTTGTTAGCGCTTCTCGCAGGGCTTGATTGTCACCGCCGGCGCTGAATGTAAAACCTTTCATTTCCTCAGGCGAGGTCACCGGGAAACGCGCTTGGACGTTGGCCAGGGTGCCTGTTGCCTGATTGTCACTGTCACCAAAAGGCACATCTGGAGTGCGTACCGGGCCATCTTCGCCGGCAGCACCTGGGGTTTTACTCAGGCTCTCAAGGCGACCGTCATGGAACAGAACGCGATCCCACAGACCTATGTTAAACGTGGTAGGCGCATTTCTCGGTACCGTTGGCCCCCCATCAAACCCTGCAGCGCCACTGCGGTGCACTCTGCCTGGGCCTAAAAGTTCTGGTATATCTGCGGCCACGCCCACGGATAAATGTAAGCCGTCCCCGCCTCCCAGGTTTGGGTGATGGCAGCTCACACAGGCAACATCCTGATCGCCACTGAGCGCTTTGCTGAAAAACAGCTGCATACCCAATTGGCTTAACGGTGAATCAATGGATGGCACTCGACGGCCTAGGGATGGATCACCGGTCAGTTCCAAGCGCTCTGCGATCTGCAGGAGCTGCGTGTTCAATTGCACTGAGTCCTCATCGGAACATTGAATTCGGGTTGAGCGTACCTCCTGCGCGTCAAGCAGATTGTTGGCGTTGTCATCCAGCCCTTCACGTAATTCGAACCCACCGTACAAACACGCTGTACTGAATACCGGAATCTCCACCTGGCTGGCGATTACCTGGACAGTCAGATCAGCTGGGCTCCCGTCGCAGGCAGTTAACAGGTAACAGATGACAAGAACGTAGACTGACTTGGGTTTCATATCGGCTCTCTTACTGGTGACTTCGAAAAACGAACGCATCAAATCTCGCATCAGAGGACGATTCAGGTAAGTGGCATGGTCTGCAGCATGGGTAAGTATTTGCCTGGGGTGACTGCAGATGAAGTTCGACACCCGCAAATCTTGGTCTACTCTTAATACAAACCATCTACTCCTAAAAAAAGGGGCATGAGTGAAAAATTTCCCAGGTCTGGTTCTATTCATTGCGGTGGGCGGCTTGTCAGGGTGCTCAAACAAATTTGAGTCCATCTCCGATGAAGAACTGGCGGACAGAATGTACGAGTGTCATACGGTAACTGAGCAAAGCCCAGGCATGGCTATCATGTGTGACAACGTTACACGTGAATGTAAAAACCGCCGCGAAGCAGGTCATTTTGTGTGTTGATGCGTGCGCCCGCTATTACCCTGGGGCTGGTTCTATGTGGCGTTTTCGCAGTCCTGTTTTCTTCACCTGCCCAGGCTGAGCAAGCCGAAAAACCGATTTATGGTGGATTAGGCGCAGAATTCGGCCGCCCGCTGGCTATGGATACTTTTGGTGCGGAAGTGAAGATTGTCCCTGAACAGTCACTGCCAGTGAATCACAGCATCACTCTGCCCACGCTTAGGCCTGGTGCCATCTACCCCTGGCGGCTCTTTCCTCAGGCTAATCTGCCGCGCCCTTACCGTGATCTGCCCAGCAGCAGCTTTGTCATGCTGAATCAGCGCGCTGAGCCCATGCGTGTGATCAGTCGGATTGAAGAGCGTGGCTGCGGTGAAAATTTTGAATGGTTGAAAACAACCCTGGCGAAGAAATATCAAGCTGGCGATGAAGTAGAAATCACTGCACCGGCACCTTACGAACGAGCCCTCCGTATCAGTTATCTGTCTCGACAGATTGATGTGCGTTGCGGACCTGCAACGGTCATTGAATACCTGGATGCCCAGGCGCTGACCCTGTGGGCTGCCGGTGAGGCAAAACAGTTTGAGGCTTATCAGCGTGAACTGACAGATATCGAAAAGCGCCGCCTGGTCATGAATCAACGTCGGGCGATGAAGTTTGCAGATTCTTTTACGGTTGGCGATGAATATCGTCTGGAAGGTGCGTTCGGAATTCAGTTTCAGAAACCATTTGCCAGGAATTCGACGCAGAATTTCCCGGTAGATGCGCCCTTCTATGCGGTTTTGCCAAATTTACCTGAACCCTTTGATCGGGGTGACATCCAGTTAGTCATCTCGCCGGAGCGTCACCCCATCGTTATCCGCGGTACGTTCAAAGACCTGGTTTTCGATGACGTGGCTGATGCTTTCAAAGCGAAATACGGTCAGCCCATGAAAGCCTCGAGCAGACACATTATTCATCGGGTCAGCAGCAATCACGCGATTGTGAAAAAGCTCTCCGAGGATGCCGTGGAGATTGCTTTTATCGATACCGTCGCACAGGCAGAGCAACGTAAACGATTGTGGGCGCAGGAAAGTGATGGACTATAAAACAAACAATGTGAGCGAGGATGTTGCCGCAAGAGATGTACGCTGCGGCTTAGATCGGCGGATGGATAATCAGCCTATAAATCATCCGGAACGACGTTTGCAGGAGCGTCGTAAGACGCCGTTACAGGCTTTTCTGTGGGTCAGTGGTCGCCACAGACTACGCGCTTGAGAGCATCGCTCTGTCACCAACTTCAGCCGCAGTGCGATAACCACCCTCTTCCAGTTCGTAGTTGACTCTTCCGTACAGCGCGCCGAGACGATCTAACACAAAGCGCTGAAACAACCCTTGAACAGTAGCTACAGAATATTTGTCAAATTTAACGCTGCGGCAGGACATCACAAAGTGATAGCTCACCGCTTCCGGGCTGATGGGCAGATCTTTGCGATGCACATCCCGCGCAGTGGCATGCGACGTACGCTCAGCGATGGTCTGGAGCACGGGGCCAAAGTGAGCGCCGCATTTTGCCGCCATCTCATTGGCAATCATGCGTTCTTCAATAAGTTCCGGGCCTGCTTCATATGGACCCAGCCAGGCGGGACTGGAATTGTGCACGCGCTTGCCGAATGTGCGCAGCAACTGCTTGCGCCGGAAGCGTAGCTCACGCATCAGTTCCACCAGGTGACGCTGTTGCATCTGATCCTGGTTGGTATAAGCAAGCTCGAAAAGACCGTCTTCTATGTTGTGATAGAAGCCGTTCATTAACTGCATCAACTCACCTGTCACCTGCGTGTGTACTGCGGCAAATACTTTATCGGCGTCTAGCATTGAAGTGTCCCTTCCCTAAGGTGTCTCTCATCTCTTGAGGGTCAGTTTATGACGCTGGGGGGCAAAATCGTTGAACCCGTTACGGTGTAAACGAGAACTGAGTCGCGCAATTACACTTACAGCAACTTTCGTTTACCTGAAATTCTGATCGTGGACAATTGAAATGCGACGTTAAACGTCACATGGCTTTAGTGGGGCCTAGTTGAGACGAATCTGGGCGTTAACGTAGCCTGGCGCATCTTGCGAATCGAAGCTGGCTCGATCAACAGAAACACCATTGTTTTCATTAAGTTGCGCTATCCATTGCACAATCTGGTTAAACGACTGCTGCTGCAGAACAACGCTGATGACGCCATTGGACTCCGGCTGTAGCCGATTAACCTTGATGTTGTGTGCGTCCGCCGCTTTTGTAATAACCGGAATCAGCGCGCGTGAGCCCCTGTTGTTGCTACTGCTGCTTGCCGCCTGTTTGGCGGCCTGTTCATTGACACGTAGCCAGTCAACCAGTTGCTGTGCATTCTGCTGGCGGTTGGTCTCGACATAACGCCAGTCTGCAACAGGTTTCCAGACAACCGCCCACAAAATGGCAATTACGACCAGCGCTGCTATCGCGGCAATAATGGTCTGTTCATTCTGCTCGCGGCCATAAAACCAGCGGCCGATTGCTGAATTGCGAAAGCCGTTAGTCATAGATGTCATAACGCTCATGATTCGTACCTCAGCCGTAGTCGTGAACGTGCGCCGGCATCCTCAGATTCGGAGCTGACCACCTCTAACGCAATGCCCGCCTGGGCAAGTTTACCCTTCAACGATTCAAGATCATCAAAGCTGTCCAGCAGTACCTCAACGGTCAGTTCTTCACGCTGTTGGGTGTAACTCAGTGAGTCAACTCTGCCGCTGCTGGTCATAACGTTGGCAAATTGGGCGGTTAAACCCACAAAGGCGTTGTTTTCCTCGGCGGCGCCACTCTGCCCCAGTTTTGCGCGCATCCGTCTGCGCAGTTGATCAACAGTGTTAGGTTGGGATTCTCTGGGGAAAGCTTGTTTGTAGATCGCAAAGCTTTCTTCCTGTAGACGGTCAGCTTGTGCTGACGCCCAGAATCCTTGCGCAACCATGCCAACAAAAGCCACCAGCAACCAGACTGCTGCAAGCGCGCCAACACCCTGCCATTTTCCAGCATGGGCACTTTTAGGACGTACTGGTGTGTATTGTCCCTGCAACAAGTTGATGAAACTCCTGCTTCCGAACTGGTCAGCGAGGTAGTCGAGAACACCGTGTGGTGACATGTCAACGTTGACGATATTCGGGTTGCTCTCTAACAAGCCGGCATCAACCGGATTCAGTTCGCCGTTTATCACAGCGATTTCATTGACATCCAGGCTGTTCAGGGCGAAAACCAGATTATCGATATCTACGATAGCAGCCTGGTCCTGGGCAGCGACCAGGGCCGTTGTACCTTCAAAAAGCACACTTGCGCTATTGCTGTCGCTGGGCAGCATCTGGCTGTCAGCCACAAAATACCCGGGGTTAACGCCGAGAGATTTAAAACAGGCCAGCCAATTCACCATGGTTTCATGTGCAACGATGTTACAGCGTACTGGCTGGCCGGCTTTGATGCCGGCATGCGCGATGTGCATGAGTTCGATGTCAGTGGCCACAAACTCTTCCACCGCAAAGGGCAGCGCACGGCGAATTTGTGCGGTGCTGCGGCCAGGTACGTCACAGGTCACCATCAGCACAAACTGGCTCGGCAGTAACACTACGGTGTTCTCTGGATCTTTAAGCCAGTCGATATTGGGGTCGGCAATGTCGGCCAGGCCACGGTAGTCCGTAACGCCGGTACCACGCACTGAACCATCATTTTCTTTGATGAGCCATTCGACGCCCAGGTCGTAACCTTCGACCATAGTCGAATCAGTATCGATGTCACCATCAGTGGATAGTGGCTCTGCCTGGGAAAGCACACGTAAAAACAAACGCGGCATCAGATCTCCTCGGTGACGATGTCCAGATTTGAACGAAAGAGTTTACCAAAGTCTCGCCTTAGAACCGTAACTACACCGCTATTTGGGTCGCGAAACAACAGGCTCTGCAGGGTCACTGAACTGCTGCCCACCTGCGCCTGAGCATGTAACAGAAAATATTCGCTGGTGACCTTGAGACGGGCCTCAGCCGGCGCAAAATCCGCAAACGCCTGTATAAATTCGGCCACGTTCTGGTATGCGCGGTCCGCCTCCACAATGGGTTCAATCTGACTCAGGGTAAAGCTCTCATCCAGCGCTGCAAGGCTCTGAGCGTTAACGGTGTTGATATTCAACGATGACTCCGTTTCCGGCAGGAGGCATACGTGTGGCAGCAGCAGCGCCAGCTGTTCACGATCGACATTCTGCAGCAGATACAGTTCTGAGACATCTACAACGGGTTGATTCGGGGTGCGATATGGGGGTTGGCTGATGAGATAATCAGAGTCCTCAGCGCCAAAACCGCTGATTTCGAGATCTGTATCTATCCAGTCTTTCCAGGCGTCCGCGATTTGCGGATTGATGCCCAGATTCTGGGCCATTCGTTTGAGTTGCTCGGCGGCGACGTCAGCCTCAGATCCGGCCAGCCTGTTGAGGTTGAAACACCCCTGCCTGTCGATCAGCTGGGCTTCCAGATAACCGCCTTCGTCCAGTTCAAAGGGCATGGTCTGCTGGGCCCATATCTCGCCGTTGTGGTCGATGTCTTTGCCGGTTGTATTGAAATCCTGAAACAGCGCCTGGCGCGCCAGGGTCTCAGCCCCCAGGGCGTATTGCAGCGCCTGGTTCTGTTCAAATGTGTTCTGATGGGCGTTGATTACCAGGTTGTGACTGGCAAGCAGACGGCTGGCAACCGCAAGTAAAATGGCGACAATAAGCAGCACGCTGACAAGGGCAACCCCCCGCTGCTGCCTGGCGCTTATCAGGCTAGACACCGGGTACCTCCCAGACGCGCTCAATGACACCGAATGGTGGGATTTCTATGCGCATCAGGATGCCGGATAAGGCGGTGTTTGGATCACTTGGATTGGCGCCAGGAACCGGCCAGAACGTATATTCATTGCCGCTGGCATCCAGGGCAAAAAACTCCAGCTGTTCTATGTCAGTTAACAGCGTCTGGTACGCGGGCTCAGTATCCTGGGCGCGATCAAGTACCGGCCAGTAGCCCCGCAGCAGCTTATTGTCCTGCATGAGATAGCCGACCCGTTGGACTTCAGCGCGAGGTAGCTGCAGTGGATTGCGCCAGCCCCCGCGAGAGAATTCAATAACGCCGTCTGTGCCGATCAGCAGCGGGCGTTGTGGGTCGCCGTACTGATCACGTATAGGACGGTCAACCAGCTGCATGATATCCCTTTGCATGATCTGCATGGCGCGGTGGATGTCATTCAGCCGGGTGCCTCGATCAGACAGGTTGTCTTGAGCGCTGAGGGTTTGTGACAGCAACTGGCTGCTGATCACACCGATCAGGCCAAATATCATGAATGAGACCAGTATCTCGATTAAGGTGAAGCCGCGCGGCAGTGATTTCTGTTTATGTTGCATCAGTTACGGCCGACAAAGGCGACGCTGTGGTCAAATGGACCAAGACGCTCGCCTTCAAGAAATTCATAAACGTCGACTTCAACGCGACGCATGACCGGTGAATCGGTAGCCGTGATGGCTGTGCGCACTTCCCAGTCCCTGCCACCCATGAACACACGTGTGCTGTCGCGCCCCTCAGGTAGCACCTGGGCTTCATTGCGCAGGCTGATACGCAACCGGTGCAGCTGGTTCTGACCGACCCAATGCGCGACGGTGCGGCGTTCCAGTGAAAATGTCTGATTGGCAACACCACCGATGGCCGTTGATATGGTGATACCCACCACTGCGATGACCACCACGGCAAGCAACATTTCAAGCAGGGTGAAACCAGCGTTGGCTTTCATGTTTCGTCGCTGCGGATTGCCGCCGTACGGGTGAAACCGTCAGAGGCTAACAGCCATGCTCGAGTTTCCCATTCGATAGGCAAAATAGTGATTTCAAAAGGGGTGGTTTCTCCACTGGAAAATAAAACAATTTGCGGGATGTCTTCGTCCGGGTCTTCCGGTGCCTGCAGGGTGCCGGGCAGATCTTCAACCGAGACATCAAATTCCACGTTACGATCGTAGGGGTCTGCGTTGAATGGTTTTTCACTGCGAGGGTTCCAGATGGCGTTGATTTCGTCAAACTCCGCAAAGCGGACGCCCTCCTCGTCTATGAAAACACCCCATTCCCGATTGCTCTGCAACGCTTTGTCGCGGGCAAACTCAATGCGCAATGCCAGCCGCTCGCTATATCCTCGCAGCGCCTGTTCTCGATCAGAACCGCTGAAAGAGCCGGCAACCACAGCCATGAGAATAGACACCACCAGTACCACCACCAGAATTTCGATCAGCGTGAAACCCCGTGCGGATGGTTTGAAAGTGCGCATATTCTGAATTGCTGTGGTTTAGATATCCGCCAGTCGGATGTCGGCGTTTAATCCTTCGCCACCTTCCTGACCGTCAGCGCCGAGGCTGTATAACGCAAAGCCATTGTCACCGCGTTCGTAGATATACGGTGAACCCCATGGATCAGTCGGCAGTTTCTTGACGTAGCCTTCCGGGTTGTAGTTTTTCGGCTCAGGAAATCCGCTGGGTTTTTCAACCAGGGCTTCCAGGCCCTGCTCGGATGAGGGGTACTGGAAATTGTCGAGCCGGTAGACGTCCAGCGCGTTAGACAGTGAGCGAATATCGGTTTGTGCAGCCTGTACTCTGGCCACGTCAGGTCTGCCGAGAATTTGCGGCACAACAACCGCGCCCAGAATCCCCAGAATGACAACGACCACAAGGATCTCAATCAGCGTAAAACCTCGGGTTTTACCTGCGCCAATGGTTGATGGTCTCACATACATATCTACTTCTCCGACATCTCGTTGGCTCAGACCAACTGGTTCATACTTAATATAGGCAGTAACACGGCCATGACAATAAACAGCACAACCGCGCCCATGATGAGTAACATCAGGGGCTCAAACAATTTCACCACAGTGGACACAATTCGCTCGACCTCAGCTTGTTGATAAGTGGCCACGCGCCCTAACATTGCATCCAGCTCGCCACTCTGTTCACCGCTGCCCACCATATGCAGCAGCATTGGCGGGAATTGTCCCACCTGTTCGAGGGCAACCCTCAAGCTCATGCCCTCGCTGACAGTCTGTGTGGCCTCTGCAAGACGGCGGCGCAGCCAGGTGTTGGACACCACTTCACTGGCAATGTTCATGGCTTCTACCAACGGCACACCGGCACTGGTCAGGATGGATAACGTGTTTGCGTAACGCGCTGCGTTGGCGCTGCGGGCAATGCGCCCGAGCAGCGGCAGGGAAAATTTCTTATGGTCCCAGCTTATGCGGATGCTGGGTTGTGATAACGCCCAGCGGATTACCAGGACAATAATGGCTACACCACCTAATAGAGCCCACCAGTAGTCGCGCAGGGTGTCGGTCATGGCTATCAGCAGCACGGTGAACCAGGGCAGGCTCTGGCCGGTGTCTTCGATCACACTGATCATGTCCGGAATCACATACACCATCAGCGCGCCAACAATTGCAAAAGCCAGAAACAGAAGTGCTACGGGGTAAAACAGAGCCATTTCAACGTTGCGGGTCGACTCGAATTGGCGTTCCAGATAGTCCGCAAGGTTTTCCAGTACCCGGTCCAGGTAGCCGGACTGTTCGCCAGCCGCAACAGATGAGCAATACAGCTGAGAAAAACTGTTGGTATATTCGCGCAGGCTGCTGGCCAGAGAGTGGCCTTCTAAAACTTTGCTGCGAATACCCAGAATCAGGGCGCTGACGTGCTGTTTTTCTGTCTGCTGAGCAACCGCGCTGAGTGCCTCTTCTATCGGCAGGCTTGAAGCAATCAAGGTGGCCAGCTGGCGCGTGAATAAAACGCGATCAAGCGCTGACATGCGGCGGGAAAAATTCCACCCCATGCTGTTGGTCTGGCGTTTATGTCGTTCTGTTGCCGGGGCAACCTCAAGGGGCATCAGACCTTTGTCGCGTAACATCTGGCGCAACTGGCGGGCGCTGTCGGCCTCCATTACACCTTTGTTCTGTTTGCCTTTTGCGTCGAGGACAACGTATTCGAATGCAGCCATGAGGGTTGTTTCAGTCTTCCAACGTGACGCGCAGTACTTCCTGCACCGTGGTGATACCAGCTAACACTTTTGCTTTGCCGTCCTCACGAATGCCTGGTGCGGTGCGGCGTGCGTACCCCGTCAATTCCTGTTCGCTGACCTGGTCGTGAATCAACTGGCGGATGGTATCGTCCACAACCACCAGTTCGTAAATACCGGTGCGACCTCGATAGCCTGAATGGCTGCAGGCTTCACATCCTGTCGATTCATATAGAACTGCGCGAGGTTCGCCGAGAAACTGTAGTTCAGCTGTGGTTGCAGCACGTTGGACACGGCAGTCTTCACACAAAGTGCGCACCAGACGCTGGGCCAGAACGCCAACCAGACTGGATGATAACAGGAACGGCTCTACGCCCATGTCCATCATCCGGGTCACCGCTCCGATGGCGGTATTGGTGTGTAAGGTCGACATGACCAGATGACCGGTCAAGCTCGCCTGAATGGCGATTTCAGCAGTCTCCAGATCGCGGATCTCACCCACCATCACAACGTCAGGATCCTGTCTCAGGATGGCACGTAAGCCTCGTGCAAAAGTCATATCCGCTTTGGTGTTGACCTGGGTTTGACCAATGCCTGCCAGGTTATATTCAATGGGGTCTTCCACAGTCAGTATGTTAATAGTCTGAGCCGACAGCTCGGCAAGCGACGCATACAGTGTGGTTGTTTTACCGGAACCGGTCGGGCCGGTGACGAGGAAAATTCCGTGCGGCTTGTGCACCACCGACTGAAGGATCTTCAGCTGTTCGGCAGCCATCCCCAGATTTTCGAGTCGAAGTCTGCCCGCTTGTTTATCAAGCAGACGTAAAACCACCCTCTCGCCTGAACTGGCGGGCATGGTGCTGACACGTACATCTACCTCGCGGCCACCGATACGCAGCGAAATACGTCCGTCTTGAGGAATGCGTTTTTCAGCAATATCCAGCCGCGCCATCACTTTGATACGTGACACCAGCAATGGCGCTAACTCGCGTTTGGGTTTCACAACTTCACGCATCACACCATCAACCCGAAAACGGACACACAGTTCTTTTTCGAAAGTTTCGATATGTACGTCGGAAGCCCCTTCCCGGATAGCCTCCGCCAGAAGTGCGTTGATCAGGCGGATGATCGGCGCATCGTCCTCCTGTTCCAGCAGGTCTTCGGTTTCCGGTACCGAATTAGCCAGACTGGCCAGATCCATTTCGTCGCCGAGATCTTCCACCATCTGGCGCGCTTCTGACGAATCACGGGAATAGGTATCCGACAACAGCTGCTCGAACTCTTCGGCACCAACCATACGTACGGTCAGCTCTTTGCCCGCTGTGCGGCGCACTTCTGCCAGCGTCGTGAGTGCAGGTTGAGCTTTGCAGGCGACGTCAGCTTTGTGGCCTGGCAGTGTGGTGCCGGTGATGACAATGCCAAAGCGTTTGGCGAAAGCAAATGGCAGCAGCGTGATTTCGCTGATTTTGGTGTTAGCCTCCAGGGCAACAGCCGGCTTCAGCTCGTTTGCTGCTTGCATCGTTGTTGATTCTGCTGATGTCGTTGATGACGCCGCGTCGGTCATGATGGCCAGATGTCCTGTCTGAGATATTGTCGGTTAATGGCTAATAGTATCAGTCACTTAGAGCTTAGCCTAAGGGTCCTAGCCAGTCTTGGGTAGTAGACGTGATGGGCAATGCCTACGGGTTCACGTTCATCCCGCTTCGCACTTTACAACTCTACACACTAGGTGGCCCAGTTTATTTCAGTTTCGTTACATTCATTTGACGTAAATGCGTAGAATAAGCGACATGGCGCAGGCAAAAAGTGAATTTATTGCAGATCTTTTTGAGGAGCAGGCTACACCGCTGCTCAAGTACCTGACCGCGCGTTTTAAAAATGTCGATGAAGCCAAAGAAGTTGCCCAGGAAGCCTGGCTGCGGGTGTTTCGGCTTGATCACCCCGAAGAGCTTGAAAACGCGAAAGCCTTTCTCTTTCAGACCGCTTCAAACCTGAGCATCGACCGTATCCGACGCGTATCGTTGGAGCGCAATCACGATGTCATGGCAGAAGAACCCGTGCAGTCTGTCGAGGCCACCGTCGCTGCTCAACAAACTTTGCGCACCATCGAAGCGTCATTGTTTGAGTTGCCCACCAAATGCCGCCAGGCGTTTGTGATGCATCGGCAGAAAAACATGTCTTACCCGATGATTGCCGAGCAACTGGGTGTCAGCACCAGTATGGTTGAGAAATACATTATCCAGGCACTGAAGCACTTTCGTAACAAATTGGAACAATAACGCGCTGAGGGAATCGTCGTCTGGTGCGTTTAACATATGAGAGTCGGTTTTAAGACGGTTAAATGCAGGATCATCAGTTAGACAGTGCGGGCTCAGTGTCCGACCAGGCCATAGAGTGGCTTGCACGTCTACGCGCTGACGATGTCACGCCACAGGAAACCGCAGACTTTGCCATCTGGCTTGCAGCGTCTAAGAATCATGAGCAGGCATTTGATACAGCCACTGAAATCTGGCAGCTAACGGCACATATGCCACCCCTATCGATCATATTGAAACCCGCTACGCCGCGTTATCGTAAAATATTGCCACTGGCGACTGCCGCTTCGGTCCTTCTCGCTGCATTTCTGATGGTGGTGCAGTTGGCCACGCCAGGTTTTACGACCGGCAAAGGTGAACAACGGCGGGTTGTGCTGGCGGATGGCAGCATTGCCTTTTTGAATACAGCATCAAAAATCCAGGTTGATTATTCAACGGATGAACGTCGCATCATCCTGCAGCAAGGGGAAGTCTGGTTTGACGTCGCTAAAAATACAAAGCGTCCGTTTACAGTGGATGGACAGTATGCCGATGCGCAGGCCGTTGGTACGGCGTTCAGTGTCCGAGAAACGCCTGGTTTTACCCGGGTCAGCGTGACTGAAGGTACGGTTGTGCTGTTCAAAGAGGATGGTGAAGAAGGCTCCCATTTAGGTCCAGGTGATGAAGGTACTGTCACTGCAGTCACCATGGACTACCGTCAGGTTGATCCCGATGTGGTTCTGGGCTGGCAGCGTGGGCAACTGGTTTATAATGATGTAAGGCTGGATGAACTGCTCCAAGACTTGAATCGCTACCTTCCAAAAACCATGGCAATCAACGACCTGCACCTCGAAAGTCTGCGCGTCAGCGCTGTGCTCAATCTCGACGATCAGGAAGCGATGCTTGATGCACTCAGCAAAACGCTGCCGATTCGCTGGAAAAGCCTGTCTGACACTCTGATCATCGTCACTTCCGACGCCTGATTTAGCACAACTTCCTTTTTGTAATGCCCGACGTGGTTGATTAGCATGCGCGCATGACTTCACATGCACATTGGCGCCGTTTGCTGCTTCCCGCAGTCATCCTTGCCGCTGTGCTTTTTTTATCTGGCCCGGTGAGCGCAGCGTCGGAATCCGAAGCCGCTTACCAGGTGGATTTACCGAGTGGCGATCTGCAGGCAACGTTGCTCAGTTTTGCCCGCGATCATCAGGTTTCAATTTTCTTTTCCAAAGAAACGGTGGCGGATATCACCCACGAGGCTGTGATGGGTACGTATACCCTGCCCGAGCTGTTTGAGCAGCTGCTCGGCGACGCCTGTATAAGTTACGAATTTGTGCGAGAGCGCCTGATTGCAATTGTGCCCGGTTGTCAGCAGGCGGTGGCTGTTGCTCCGGTATCAGTTATTGAAAACGTCCTGGTGGAGGAATCTGCTCCGGCGTCTTTTGTCGAAGAGATACTCGTTCAGGAACCTCACGTCACCGGCACGCGCTTGCGTAATCCGTCGGCCAGTTTCGCCATGCCACTGGAGGTGATTGATCAGACTGAAATCAGACTGTCCGGCTATCAGGCTGTTGGCGAACTTTTACGCTATGTACCAGCTGTTTCGGGTAACAGTGCCAGTACTTTGATCTCCAACGGCGGTGATGGCACCGCCAGCGTTACATTGCGTGGGCTGCCTGCCAGTAACACACTGGTATTGCTGAACGGGCGGCGAATGAACACCGATGCTTTGCGCGGTGGTTCGGTGGATCTCAACACCCTGCCTCTGGGTATTGTTGATCGCATTGAGATCCTCAAAGATGGTGCTTCGGCGATCTACGGTTCTGATGCGATTGCCGGAGTGGTAAACGTGATCACAAAACAGGACATCAACGGATTATCTATAGATGCGTATACGGGTCAGTCTGCGCAAGGTGACCTTCAGACCACCCATCTTTCAGGTCTGTGGGGTTTCGAAGGTGAGCGCTGGAGCAGCGCCCTGGGTATGAACTACTACGATCAATCCGGCGTTTACAGCCGCGATCGAACCTTATCTGCCTCTTCCAACGATCGCTCCCGTGGGGGCATTGATAAGCGCAGCAGTGCAATCAGCCCTGCCTGGCTCGGTTTATCCAGCGGACCTGTTGTGTTGCTGGAAAGTGCGCCAGGCGTTGTGCCTGAGGATTTTCGCGCCATAACCGAAGATGACCGATTTGAATTCCGCGATTTCACTTCTTCAATTGTGCCTTCGACGCGACTGGGTGGTTTTGCCAGCCTGCAGTGGGATATGGGCGCGCAATGGCTGGGCTATTTTGAAGCCCTTTACCACCAGACAGAATCAATTAATACGTTGGCACCTACCCCACTTCTCAGCGCGTTTGAGCCCGAACCCATCATTGTCGATGCTCAACAGGTGTTTAACCCGTTTGGTGAGGCGGTGTTTGATGTGCGCCGTCGGTTGTTAGAGCTGGGTCCGCGGAAACAGATAAACGACTCAGAAACATACCGCACTGTTCTGGGGTTCAGGCGTGAAACCCGACGATTAAGTTTAGATGCGGCATTCACTTTTAATCAGACTGATGCGCAGGAGACTTTTCGCAATGGCGCCAATGCCGCGCAAGTCGCTTTGGCTTTAGACGAGGACTGTGCTGCGCCTTGTGTGCCACTGAATATATTTGGTCCTGGCAATTCAATAGATGAACACATGTCTGCGTTTATTGGTACGGATGCGCGCATCGAAGGGGTAAGCCGTACCTTTGGGTTTACCTTTGATCTTGACTGGGTGGCGAAACAGACAAACCAGGGCGATGTTGAACTGTCGACCGGGTTCGAATACCGTCGTGATGAGTTAGACACCTCTCCTGATCAGATCCTGCGCAATAATCTGTTGCTTGGCGGCGGCAATCGGCGTGCTATAAAAGGCAGTCGGGAGATCGTTGAAGTCTATGCAGAAGGGCTTATTCCGCTTGCCGCAAACAGACGTTTTGTTGAACGACTTGATGTGCAAGTGGCGGCAAGGGTGTCGCGGTACAGTGATTTTGGTTTTCAGGTTAACCCGCGGCTGGTGCTGCACTGGATGCCAACAAAAGAGATCACCTGGCGGGCGAGCGGCGCCAGAGGGTTTCGCGCGCCCACACTTCTGCAACTTTTCGCCAGTTCATTACAGTCATTCGAGCAACTCAACGACCCCTGCACAGTTGCGTCCAACGTGGGTTCTTTCCTGGGTTGCGATCTGCAGAGTGATCCGTCGTTAACTCAATATCTGACCATTACCGGCGGCGATGCCGGGTTGGATCCGGAGCGTTCTTCAACCTTCAGTACAGGTTTAGTCTGGCGACCAAAGTGGCGGAGTAACCAGTTGCTGTTCAGTGCAGACTGGTATTACATAGATTCTGAAGATGTAGTTGAGTCTTCTGCGCAGTTTGTACTGAATCAGAATGCCCGCCTCGGCAGGTTTGAAAATCGTGTCACGCGTAACGTTGATGGCAATCTTGAAATGATCCTTGCGACGTTACAGAACATAGGCCGCAGGAAAGTTAGTGGCTACGATTTATCCGGTCAAGTAACTTGGAATATGCGCGATAACGGGCGCTTAACACTGGCGCTTAACGCCACCCATATTGTGCGGTTCCAGGATCAATTTGATCCAACCTCACCTTCAATTGATAAAGCTGGGACATTCTCTGATGAGGCAGCTGGAGGTCTGGGAGCGTTGCCTGATTGGAAGATCTACACCGGTCTCAGCTGGCGACATCAGCATTGGCAAAGCCACTACACTATTTATCATGTCAGTTCTTTGCGAGAAGAAATACCTTTGTTAGAAACGCAACGGACTATCTCGTCCTGGACCACGCATAATTTCAACGTCAGCTATCTCGGTCCGCTGTCTAAATGGTTCAGGTTCACCGCAGGTGTAAACAACTTGTTTGATGAGGCGCCACCCTTCTCTGCCGCTGCTTTTAACGACAGCTATGACGGCCGGACGTATGACATAACCGGACGTTACTTCTTTGTGAAAGTTGACAAATCGTTCTAGCGGCAAAGAGCCAGGCTGCTTAAGCACAGACACAAAAAAGGGGCTGCAAAGCAGCCCCTTGAAATGCTCAGTTATTATTATATCGAGCTTATAGATCTGCGCTCAGGCGCAAAAACATGAAGCGGCCAATCGCATCGTAGATGAAAGGTGCCGTGTTTGTGCTTGCATCGAAAGCGAACGGTGGGTCGTTATCGAACAGGTCGTTGACACCGAAAACGACTCTATATTGATCCCAGTTGTAACCAACTCGGATGTCGTGTTCAGTGTGTGAGTCGACTTCGTCGTATCCGAAAATATTATCTCCATCAAAGTCCACATCGTTCATGCCATGTGTGTATCTCATCAGCCAGGAGAATTCCCATTCATTCCACTGAACGTCTGTTCGAAAGTTTGCCTTAATTCTGGGGAAGCCTGATGCGATATCTACAGTGTAGTTGCCAACACCTGGCGCAAACGTGTTTTCTTTGACGTAGGTTCCGTTCAAGTCGAAGACCCAGAGCGTGTCATTGAAAAGCTCTGTTTCATAAACAACACGAAGATCATAGCCATCGGTGCTGACTTTATCGAGGTTCTGCAGTCGGTTAACCAAGCCTGCAGGTTGACCCAGCCCGTCCCGAGTGAACTGGTCGCATTCGGGTGCGGCAAGGCCAGCCGGCCCGGTGTAGCAATCGGAAATGATTGATGCAGAAGCTATGTTGCCGATCAGGTCTTCAACTTCGATGTCCCAGTAGTCTACTGTGATAGACAGTCCTTCAAGAAAACTTGGCGTAAACACAACGCCGATCGATGACGTATCAGCCTCCTCAGGCTGCAGGTCTGGATTAGATCCTCTGAGGACAGGAAACTGTGATGCTGGCTGAACGAACCCAGGTGCAATGCCATCGAGAAGACAGTTACCGTCCACTAAGGGGTCACTAGCTCTGAGTGTAGCATCAGCACAAGGATCAGCGTATCGGTCGAAGCTGACTGTGCCACCACCAAAAAGGTCGGTTACGGTCGGTGCACGATAAGCTGTAGATACGTTAGCTCGAATTCGCAGATCCTGATAAATCTGCCAGTCGATACCAACTCTGGTGACAGTTTCATCGCCGAAATTGCTGTAGTCTGCCCATCTCGCTTGAAGGTTGAGGGTCAGGTATTCAAAGCCTGGAGCGTCTCGAAGCAGGGGCAGTTCGATTTCCGCAAAAACCTCATCAACGTTGAATGAGCCTTCACTGATAAATGTCTGGTTTGCAACACTTTCACCGGCAAGCGTGACGGAGTCAGGCTTTGCAAAACCTTCATCTGTACGACTTTCTGCGCCCACAGCAAGATTTACTTCGCCTGCTGGCAAATCAAAGATTGGACCGGTTGCCAGCGCAAAGAAACCAGTTGTCTGGAATTTGCTGATCGATGTTGAAATTTGCTTCAGGTAGTCGATTTCAGATGCTGTCCAGTTAGCTGGGCGCAGAACATCAAGTGCGCCAGAGGCATTGACCACCTGGCTACAAACTGAATCGGCCGCACATCGATCTGGGTCAGAAATAATGTTGGCCCGATTCAGGTTGTAAATCGCATCGGTCGTCTGATCTGCATTAACTCGCGTGTACAGATATGACAGTTCCCAAGACCAGTTGTTGAAGAAGTTGTCTTCATTGATGATCTCACCGCGCAGTCCACCAACCATACGAATCGTATTAGATTCGATTTCTGTATCTCGAATACCTATGGTTGAAGAAGGCCGAATGCCGAAGGTACCACCCAACATGCCTGGCAGCAGGTTTGGATTAGTGGCTGGAACTTCCCAGCCGTTAGGTACACCGGGTGTACCACCGAACAGTGGGTTTCCGTCCAGTCTACTTTCAGTCAATCGTTTCGAATACTGAACTTCAAGGAATGCTTCGGTGCTGTCTGTGATGTTGTAGTTTGCATAGCCTGCTGTTGAATAAATATCAAAAGCGTTAACGATGTCCTGCTCCAGAGCGTAGTCGTAATTGATCAGAGTGTCTCGATCAGCTGGATCTGCAGAAACTTGGAATCCACATCCCGTTGTCTGTACGGTTCTTTCATCACCCCCCAGCGCTCTTGGCGTGGTGCAGTAGGTTGTGTCGTTATCGTCGAAGAAAATACCACCCGGGTTGCGACTGGAACCATTACCAAATATGCCACCGCCGATGAAAGAAATGGCGGGAAACGCCCAGTCTCTTTCGCGATGCGGGACGTTGTTGCGATAGCGGTACTCAGCACCCAGAATCACAGAACCTCGGTCTGATGTGGCACCCATGGTGAGGGCCATTGAATTGAATTCGCCACCATCGTCAGATGGCTGGCCAGCAAGTACGTTGGCTTGAACGCCTTCAAAGCGCTCCTTCAAAATAACGTTCACGACGCCAGTGATGGCATCTGAGCCATAGGCCGCAGAAGCGCCATCTCGGAGGATTTCGACGCGATCTACCATTGCATTTGGTAGGAAGGTCAGGTCAGCAGCTTCGTTTGCCAGTGAGTCTGCGAAACGTGCGACCCGTTTGCCGTTGATCAATACCAGAACCCGGTCAGGACCCAGATCTCGCAAGTCAATTGATGTTGCGCCGCCGCCCGACAGGACATTCTGCTGGCTGAAACCACCAGAACCCGCGACAACGGACCTTCTGAGAGCTTCACCGATATCACCGATGCCTGAATCGAGAATTGATTCTCCACTGATCACGGTAATTGGGCTAGCTGAAGTAAAATCCGATCGCTTAATACGCGAACCCGTAACTACGATTTCTTCAACGACCTCTGCGTCGTCGTCAGCAGCGAAAACAACTTGTGGAGTTGTCAGCGCGATAATAGCCAGCGCTAGCACTTTAAATAGCGATCGCGCCAATAGTGGCTGTTCTACAGTCATGTTTATCCCCCAACTGTAAGGTTTAAGATAGTACGGAATTAAACGTTAACTTTTGTGCGTAAACCTTTGATAAAAAACAAAATATACGCTCGATTAGTCGAGTCTTGTTTTTGCTGTTATTTATGCTTTAGCCCAACTCACATAAAGCCGACGTTCTTCCGCTACGTGTAAAACGTATAAGTCCGGGGATCCCTCAACTAAAAATTCACATTTTTTTCACTTTTCACGCGGAGAGGCATGAAACAAGGTCAGCGAATCCGTTTAACGCCTACGCTGCGTCCAGAGGAGAGGATTTCTAGATAGTAGCCGAAGCGCCCCTTCTTAACTACAACCTCAGGATTCATCATTTTTATACTCCGATAGCCGCCGCCTACCCGCTGCTGCCAGACCTGGCCATTGTCGAGGCGGAAGATGGTGTTGCCGTCCCAACCTCTGAATTCACCTTTAAGCCGCGCGGTAATGGCGCTAGGCACCTCAGCCGCGACGGGTACCTCCAGCTGCTCCTGGCCAAACTCTGTGACTTCTTTTACAGGCGGTTGTGGGGTTTTGGCAGTTGTCGGTGCAGTCGGGGTCGGTGCGTTCGCCACGGGCGAGGCTGATTTGTCCAGCCAGCGGTTCAGTGTTGCCAACTCTGCATCGGTGAGTTTGTGTAAACCCGCCGCTCGAAACTCGGCCTCATTCATATTGTCCTCCAGCGCAGCGTGCGTTGAAGCTGCGCTCAAGACGATAAAAGATCCAAGAACCAATATAAGACAAAGACGGGTCATATTATTTATCCAAGCGGAAGTTCAGACATGCTAACTGAGCCAGCCTGAGTGTTCGAGTACCCGCCATACACTTCGAATTGCATTTTGATGTGGGGTCGACGGATTGGACGGAGTATTATGCGTTGCAGCTTTTTGTTGGGACAAAAAATTTTGGATTTTGTTGGTAACCACATATTGTCAGTGGATCAGTTCTGTCGAGCAGACGTCGATCGGATATTCAAAGTGGCAGATGATATGCGTCCGTACGCCATGCGCAGGCGCATCACCCGCGTACTCGAAGGCGCCATTGTATCCAATATGTTTTTTGAACCCTCGACGCGAACTCGTGTGTCATTTGGGTCCGCATTTAATCTCCTGGGTGGTCAGGTCAGAGAAACGACTGAAGTGAAATCTTCTGCGCTGGCGAAAGGAGAGTCGCTATATGACACGGCCCGTGTGCTGTCTGGTTACAGCGATGTCATTGTGATGCGGCATCCTGAGCCAGGTAGCGTGGCAGAATTTGCTCAGGCCAGTCGTGTGCCGGTGATCAATGGCGGTGATGGTCCAAACGAACACCCCAGTCAGGCCCTGCTCGATCTATACACGATGCGTCAGGAAATGGCCGGACGTGGGCGGGGTCTGGATGACCTGCGTATTGCGCTGATTGGTGATCTGAAATACGGTCGCGCTGTGCATTCTTTATGCAAGTTGCTGGGGCTCTATAAAAACGTCACTTTGCACTTTGTCTCTCCCCCTGAGCTGGATATACCGCCTGATATAGCTGCGGAATTGAAGGCTAAGGGTCACCGTATAGAGAGTTTCCACGAGTTAGAACAGGGTATTCACGACGTCGACATTCTTTATGTGACGCGGACCCAGGAGGAACGTTTTCCGTCTCAACAGGAAGCAGATAAATATCGTGGCCTATTTCGGCTCAATCAATCTGTTTACACACAGCACTGTGAACCTAACACGGTGATTATGCACCCTCTGCCCCGGGACTCTCGCTCCGAAGCGCAGGAACTGGCTGATGATTTGAATCAGAATCCCAATCTGGCTATTTTCAGGCAGACCGACAACGGTGTACTGGTGCGGATGGCACTATTTGCGCTGGTGCTGGATGTTGTGGAACAAGTAGATGATCACGCCAAACCCGTCACCTGGTTTACTGCGAAGCGCAGAGAGGCGTTATAAACGCTTAAAAACCGGTACAAAAATACCGGTTTTTAAGCACAAAGAGAAAAGTGGTCTTAGCGCTTTTTCGGCGCCTTTTTAGAAGCCTTTTTTGTCGCCTTCTTAGGTGCGGTTTTTGCCGCAGCCTTCGCAGGCGTTTTGCCAGCTGCCTTCTGCCTTGGAACTTTCGGCATTCTGTCTTTCCAGGCTTTTGGCGCGCTTTTGTAGCCGCGACATTCCGCCAGGAATTTAGTTGCTTCCGCCCATGCTTTGTCAGCCCCGAGACGCTTTACGGAAAACTCACGTACGTGAGATTTACCGCTGGTTTGAACCTGCACTCGAAATGCTGGCGAAGGCCGATGCACTAAATTGATACCGCGCACTCCGGTGGAATGCTTTTTATCGGTATCAGCTTCGCGCACCCGCTTCGCCTTTGCGGCGTCTTGTTTGTCAGCCCATTTCTGGTCTAACGCTTTCGCTTCACGGCGCACTTCTTTTTGTTTGGTTTTATTCAAACCAATCAAACTGAAATATTCCTGCTGAAGTTTGCCGTCAATACTGCGGGCGACACGCAACAGCTGTCCGTTATTTAGTTCATATACTGCCACTGGATTACTCCTCTTTGCTTGGCCAGTAACAAGAACTATAGCAGAGCTTCGAGTTCAGGTAGAGCCTTAAACAAGTCGGCTACCAGGCCGTAATCAGCGACCTGGAAGATAGGCGCGTCTTCGTCTTTGTTTATGGCGACGATGACTTTGCTGTCTTTCATGCCTGCCAGGTGCTGAATTGCGCCGGAAATGCCCACAGCAATGTACAAATCAGGGGCCACAATCTTACCTGTCTGCCCTACCTGCATGTCGTTAGGCACAAATCCTGCGTCCACAGCGGCACGGGAAGCGCCAATGGCTGCACCGAGCTTGTCCGCAATACCTTCAAGCAGAACAAAATTGTCACCACTCTGCATACCGCGGCCGCCAGATATGATGATGCCGGCAGAGGTCAATTCGGGACGCTCAGACTTAACCACTTCTTCACTGACAAATTCCGAAACGCCTGCGTCGGTAACATTGTCTAAAGCTTCGATGGAGGCGCTGCCACCTTCAGCTGCGACGGGGTCGTAAGCGGTACCTCGGACGGATACCACTTTAACGGCATCGTTGGCTTTGACCGTTGCAATGGCGTTACCTGCATAAATCGGCCGTTTGAAGGTGTCTTCACTTTCGACGCTGACGATGTCAGAAATCATGGCGACACCCAGATTTGCAGCGACCCGTGGCATGAAGTTTTTGCCGTTGGTGGTGTGTGCACAAAGAATGTGCGAGTAGCCTGAAGCGGCCTCTACCACCAGCGCCGCGACGTTTTCGGGCAACTGGTTAGCGTAAACGGCGTTGTCAGCAACCAGTACCTTGTTAACACCAGCGATTGCAGCGGCCTGGCTGGCAACCGCATCTACGCCGGCGCCGGCAACCAGTACATCTACGTCACCGCCGATGGCCGCTGCAGCAGCAAGCGCTACGCGGGTGGCCGGTTTGAGTTCAGAATTATCGTGTTCTGCAACAACTAATATGCTCATTAAATTACCTTCGCTTCGTTTTTCAGCTTATCAACCAGCTCTTCTACTGATTCCACTTTAATACCGGCTTCACGCTCGGCAGGTGGCTCAACGCGCAGCGTTTCCACTGTAGGTTTAACATCAACGCCCAATTCGTCAGGGGTCGTTGTATCAAGCGGCTTTTTCTTTGCCTTCATGATGTTTGGCAGGGAGGCATAACGCGGCTCGTTGAGACGTAAGTCAGTGGTCACAACAGCAGGTAAAGAAACCTTAACCGTCTGCAGGCCACCATCGATTTCCCGTATAACCTGTGCTTTGCCGTCTTCAATGTTGAGCTCAGAGGCAAATGTGCCCTGTCCCATGCCGGTCAGAGCGGCAAACATCTGCCCTGTCTGGCTGTTGTCCCCATCAATGCTCTGCTTGCCGAAAATGACAATATCCGCATTTTCTTTGGCCTGCAGTGCCTGCAGTGCTCGCGCGATGCCCAGTGGCTGAACGTCTTCATCTGTTTCGATCAGCACAGCACGATCTGCGCCCAGTGCTAGACAGGTGCGCAGCTGCTCCTGACAGGCAGAGCTGCCAACGGATACGGCGACCACTTCAGTGGCCGTGCCGGCCTCTTTCAGGCGTACGGCTTCTTCTATTGCAATTTCACAAAATGGGTTCACCGACATTTTCACGTTGGATAAATCGACTCCAGTATTGTCTGGCTTGACACGTACCTTGACGTTGTAGTCAACGACGCGTTTCACGGGTACCAGTACTTTCATAAGTTCCTCACTTCAAAGCACTAACTCAGTTGTTAGCGTGGTATTGGGTATTTAGGTATTTGTTGATGGGCGACCATGGATGGTGGCGCCGAACACGATTTGCGACAAACGAGGATGACCCGCCACCGCCGTGACCCATTTTTTTTTGGCGGCGTATTGTCGCTACGCACCTTTTCAAGGTCAAGGAATGAGTGAAATAGGGTTATAATGAGCAGCTGAATACTATTTGCCTTTAAGGATGTGTGAATTGTGAGCGAAATTGAACGCGAATCGATGGAATTTGACGTTGTTATCGTCGGTGGTGGGCCCGCTGGTTTAAGTGCGGCCTGTCGATTAATGCAGCTGGGCGAAGCTGCGGGCACCGAAATTTCGGTGTGTCTGGTAGAAAAAGGCTCTGAAATCGGCGCGCACATTCTATCTGGCGCTATTTTTGAGCCCACTGCTCTTAATGAATTGTTCCCGGACTGGGCGGAGCGTGGCGCACCGCTGGACAATCCGGTGAACGAAGATCTGATTTATTACATGGTCAATGACACGAATAGAATCAAGATCCCAAGCATGTTTGTACCCAAAGATGCACATAATGACGGTAACCATGCCATTAGTCTGGGTAATCTGTGTCGCTGGATGGGCGAACAGGCCGAGAATATGGGGGTAAACGTATTCCCCGGTTTTGCTGCGTCTGAAGTATTGTATAACGACGATGGCTCAGTTGCCGGTATCGCTACGGGTGATATGGGCGTTGGTGCTAATGGCGAGGCCAAAGGTACTTTTGCACCTGGGTACGAGTTGCGGGCGAAATACACGCTGTTTACAGAAGGTTGTCGTGGGCATCTTGGTAAGCAGTTGATCAAAAAATTCAATCTGGATGCTGAATCCGGCACGCAACACTATGGTATCGGCTTCAAGGAGCTATGGACCATTGACCCAGCCAAACACAAAGCCGGTAAAGTCATGCATACCGTGGGTTGGCCGCTTGGTCATCTGCCAGGTTCAACCACCGGCGGTTCGTACCTGTATCACCTGCCGAATAATCAGGTGTCACTGGGGTTGATCATCGATCTGAGTTACTCCAACCCACACCTTTCACCCTTTGATGAATTTCAGCGTTGGAAGCACCACCCTGAAATTGCCAACCTTCTGGAGGGTGGCGAGCGTGTTTCTTATGGGGCCCGGGCCATTATCAAAGGGGGATTGCAGGCGTTACCCACACTCACCATTCCAGGCGCGGCGTTAGCTGGTGACGATGCCGGCTTCCTGAATCCGCTGAAGATCAAAGGCAGTCATACCGCCATGAAATCCGGCATGTTGGCCGCCGAGGCAGTTTTTGAAGAGCTTGCTGCTGGTCATGCCTACACTGAGGTGGCCAGCTACCAGCAGAAATTTGAAAATTCCTGGCTGTTCGACGAGTTGAACCGTGCGCGTAATGTTGCGCCAGGCTTGCACAAGTTTGGCGTGCTGGGTGGCTCGGTTCACGCCTTTATCGATCAGTATTTCAAGGGTAAGCAGAGTTGGACGTTGAGCGACCCAACACCCGACTACGCAACGCTGAAAGAGGCTTCCAAAGCGAAAAAAATCAACTATCCCAAGCCGGATGGCAAGATTTCTTTTGACAAGCTATCGTCAGTATTCATTTCAAATACCTCGCATGAAGAAGATCAGCCCTGCCACCTGGTGCTGACTGATCCTGATATTCCGTTGAAGGTTAATCTGCCCAAGTACGACGAACCTGCGCAGCGTTACTGCCCTGCCGGTGTCTATGAAATTGTGGAAGAGAACGGTGCTCAACGGTTCCAGATTAACGCGCAAAACTGTGTGCACTGTAAAACCTGTGACATCAAAGACCCCGCGCAGAATATCAACTGGGTCGTCCCTGAAGGTACCGGAGGGCCGAACTACCCCAATATGTAAAGGGTGAGTCAGTTCTTAGTGGAGCAAGCCAAGGTCAAAGGGTTGGCCTTGGCTGTAGACGTAGAGATGATCCGCCTCTTCGATGCCGTGCTCGATCAGCCGATAGTAAACATTGCGCGTCAGGCGCGCTTCCAAGCCATTGCGGATATGTAAATACGGGCGTTCTCCACGCATAACAATCTGATTGTCAGGCCCTGCCATAACATAGTCACCCACGTTGGTCGTGAACAACAACTCCGTTGCTTTGCCACTGCCGCGCACATCTAAATCGGTTGCGATAAAAGGCACGTCAGCCACCTGGATCGCCATTTTTTCCGCCGGGGTTACAAGAAAGTAGGCATCCCCTTCCTTTCTTAAAATAGTGGCAAACAGATCCGCTAATGCCTGTCGCTGGATCTTAGCGCCTTCATGGAACCATTCGCCGTTGTTGTTAATGGCAATATCAATGGTGCCAGTATGGTCGGGCTGCCACATTTCAACCGGTGGCAATTTTTTCTTCGCCTGTAATGTGGTGAGGGTGTTAAACAAACTGTCGATAGCGTTCATATCAACAGTTTAACCGTCTCGCAACGTCTCTGCGAGGCGCCTGAAGCTGCTTTGTAGGTGTGTCGGATCCTGCCAGTCCGGTCCCCACAGCGCTGGACTGATATGCAGCGTCATATGAGCGATGGTATTGCCGTGATTGTCTCTCAATTTCACCGGCAAACGCGCTACCTGGGGTAGCGTGGGCAGGCCTGTCAGACCCAGCAAAGCAACCTCGGTAGAATTCGCCTGTCCAGCCTGTTGAGGCGCCGGCTGATTGGGCCAACGCACGAGCAATTCATACCCTCGATGGTGGGAATGTGTATCAAACACCTCGGCAACGCCGAGGCTTGCAGATTTCAACCACGCTGATGGCGTGGTGTGATCATCATAAATCGATAATCCGGCGTCTGCAGGTAGCGTGAATCGAGGTGCGCCCTCCACAACTGTATTGGCATCGAGGCGCAAAACACCTGGGCTGGTAGCGATTGCGTGTACTGTATTCTGCCAGCTACAGGCGCTCTGTGTGCCTGCTGCAACGATTAGCAGCACGAGGAGGAGTTTCTTTTCCAGGGAGACGTTTGACAACATTTGCTCATACTCAACGGGTATTTTTGAGTATAGGAGACGCTGCTGTTCCTGCGCGCGCGCCTTGCGCTGATGGGGTATGTCAGCCGCCGATAAACTTCATCACCGTGACCTCGCCGCGGAAGCTCGCTAACTGCTTGTCCGCCAGGGCGTTCCCCAGGATGGACTGCAATTTTGCAATTGCCAGGGGTTCAGGCAGGTTTAGGGTGTCTCGCAGATCGTATGATTTGGCGTTAGACAGGCAGCCGTAGAGTTTGCCGTTAGAAGAAAGGCGTAGACGTGAACACGTGCGGCAGAATGGTTCACTTTCATTGGCGATGATGCCGAACATCCCTCGACCGGAAATTTCAAATCGAGCCGCAGTAGAATCCAGCGGTGCCTGTGCTCGCGTAAATTCATAGTGTTCAGCTATGAGTTCAAGAATTTCATCCATACCGTAAAACTGTCGTTCAAACAGCGCGTTACCCTGCAGATGGCCCATATTCATCAGTTCGATGAAACGCAGCTCAATTCCTCTTGCCAGAGCGTAGTCCAACATAGGCAGGATCTGATGGTCGTTCTTGCCGCGCATCGGCACCATATTCAGTTTGACCTTTATGCCAGCTTCAAGCATCAGATCAATGCCCTTGAGCACCGTGGCGAGGTCTCCTGATCGGGCAATATCACGAAAGGCTCTGGCGTCCAGCGTGTCCAGGCTGATGTTGATACGCCTCAATCCAGCGTCGATGATCAGAGGTGCTTTGCGGGGCAACAGTTGACCGTTGGTAGTGACCGAGACGTCACTTAGACCCATCTGCATCACTTCAGGCAGGACGGCATCAAATTTGGGTGATAAGAGAGGTTCTCCTCCGGTAATGCGCAGCTTGTCTATGCCTGCGGTGTCGATCAGTAAACCCACAGCTTTGACCATTTCATCGGCCTCAAGCTCTGCGTTGGCAGCCAGCAGTCTTTTGCCGTCGGGTACGCAGTAAGTGCAGGCGTAATTGCACGCTGCGGTGAGGCTGAGACGTAAGTTGCGAAATTGACGGCCGAGACGATCTACGATCAAAGTGGTTTATCCAGAGTATGTTAGCTCTCAGTATGAGCCATATGAGCAAAAATGTGACCTGGTTCCTGGCACATTTTGCACACTGTGCTTAACTTCAACTGTCGCTGCTCACGTCTCCCCCCCAACGATTGCAGTGACTTCAGAATAAACATGCTGATCCATCAGCTTATTTTGAAAGTGTGACTCCTAATGGTACTTGCCCGGTTCGTCCGGGCTTTTTTTATCTGAAATCAATTTGTTACACGTGAAACATAAATTGATTCAAGCTTTTTCTTAAGCTGCTGGACAAAGTCTTTTGCCCAGAATACGCGGTTCGAACCTTTCACCAGTAACGTGCTGTGGGCTGTGCAAGCGCGTGTAACCTCTTCCAGCAGGGCGTCGCTGGCCCACTCGTGCCATGGACAACCTAATGCATCTGCCAGTTTGCGCGTGCCTGCACCGACACAAAACACCTGCTCCATCGCCTGAAGAGGCTCAGCAAGGGCCAGGTGCCCTGCTTCAGCGGCGTCACCAAGTTCCAGCATTTCGCCGATGAGGGCTACCTGATGGGTCTGACCGGCCCGGTCCGTTGGTCGCAGTGAGCGCAAGCTGTTGATGGCTGCTAGCATGCTGTCAGGGTTGGCGTTATAGCTGTCGTCAATCAGGGTGATATCGCCGATTTTGATGATATTGCCGCGCCCTGTCGGGATAAGCTCGTGGGGTAGTTCGCAGGCCAGTAACGGGTCCTGGTCTAGGAGATGGCTTACCAGCAGTGTAGCGGCGAGAGTGGTGGCGCGGTGGACGCCGCCCCCGGGGACTTGAGCGCTGAGGGTTTTCCCCAGCAGGACGATGCTGGCCCGATCTCCCTGCACTTCTTTCACATACGCATCCGCACTTGGGTTGGTGCCAAAGGTCAAGCCGTATGGCATCCCGAGGCTGTATTCAGAAACAGTATTCGATTTGTCTTCTACTGCATTGAAAATAGTGATTTTTTCCTCTTTCAGCGCTTGCCAGTCACGGAAGTTTTCGATGTGCGCTGATTGAACATTCAGTAACACCGCCACGTCAGGTGCAATCATTTTTGCGAGCGGCTCAATCTCACCCGGGTGATTAGTACCCACCTCATAGACGGCAAATCTGCTCTGTGCAGGTGTATTCGCCAGGGACAGAGGCACGCCGATATGATTGTTGAAGCTGCCAGGTGGTGCATAGGCGTTCAGCGCCGCGCTGATAAAGTGTTTAGCGGTGGTTTTCCCGCTGCTGCCGGTAATGGCCACGGCTTTGCCTTCCAGTCTTGCGCGGGCCATATGTCCAAGAGCCCACAATCCGTCGTAGGTGTCAGCCACCTGCAATAAGGGAAAGCTGTCATCTACTCCCAGCGTGGCTGCGTTCTGGTGAACCATTGCACCAGCAGCGCCTGCGGCCGCAGCCTGGGCGACAAAGCTATGCCCATCAACAGTACTGCGATAGCTTGGATTGAATCTGGCGCCCGGGTCTCCAGGCAGCGCCACAAACAGCTGCCCAGGCAGCAGCGCACGGCTGTCTACAACCACCCCGCTGACATCCGGGCCTTCCAGCTGGTTTTGTGGCTTACTTTGCAGCAGACCCTCGGTGAGTTCAGACCAGCGCCAGAGTGGGCGGTCGACATTGTTTTGCATTTTTGTCATGGCGAGATTTTATCCCTTTTCACATCCTGGGGGTCGAAAAAACGATAAGATCACCGCTGTTATAGTCGCAGCCAATTTTGCGGCTTGTTTGTTTTTTCCGGATGGCGCTAAAACTGTATGTCTAATTCCAACGTCAGCATCCTCGGCCGTATTGGTGGTGGGATTACCAAGCTGCGTAACTTTTTCGTCAATGCACTGTTTATTCTGATTCTTGTGCTCATCACTCTGGCCTTGCTGGCTACCTGTGAGGGCATCTCAGTGCCTGATAATGCCGCGTTGGTGATCAACCCGCGCGGTGTTGTAGTGGATGCGGCGACGGTGCCTGACCCGTTTGAAGAGCTGTTGACTGCCGGACCTCGTCTGGCCGAGGTTGAACTGCGCAGCCTCTTGCGCGCAATCGAACTTGCCACCGGTGATGCGCAGATAAAGATGATTGTGCTTGATCTCGATGAGATGGCCTGGGCGGCGCCGGCACATGCACAGCGCATAGGTGAAGCGCTGGCTGGGTTCCAGGCTGCAGGTAAGAAAGTGGTGTCATACGGGCAGTACTACAGCCAGGCGCAGTACTACATCGCCAGTTTTGCAGATGCACTTTATCTGCACCCGATGGGTCAGATCATGTTCGAAGGCTTTGGTGGTTATAGTTTCTATTTCAAAGACTTACTTGATAAATTTGATGTCAATATTCATGTTTTTCGTGTGGGGGATTATAAGTCTGCAGTAGAACCCTTCACGCGTAATGACATGTCTGAAGAGTCGCGTCTGGCCAGTGAGCAGCTGTACCAGGAGATCTGGCAGCACTTTCTACGAGATATCTCGCGGAATCGTTTAATCGAAAAACCTGCGCTGCAGGCTTACGCAGACAATCTCGCGGGCATTCTCAAAGTCACTCAGGGAGATATGGCGCGTGCGGCGCTGGAGAGCCAGCTGGTCGATGAACTGCTCACCTCAGACCAGGCTAACGTGCGTATTGCTGATGATGTTGGCTTTCGGGATAAACAGCGCAACGAGATCAACGGCATAGATTTCCAGACCTATCTAAGCGCAAACATGCTTTACGAGCCCGCTGTCGGACTTGGCAAAGACAGAATTGCCGAAATTGTGGTGCAAGGCATCATCATGAACCAGGGGCGGAGTAACCAGATTGCGGATGCTGAAGGCATTATCCGCCTCATCCGCCAGGCGCGAGATGACAACGCCGTGAAAGCCGTTGTGCTAAGGGTAGACTCTCCAGGCGGCAGCCAGTTTGCCTCGGAGTTGATCCGGCAGGAGTTGGAGCTGTTACAGCTGGCGGGCAAGCCGGTTGTGGCGTCTTTTGGTGCCAGCGCGGCGTCAGGTGGGTATTGGATATCCGCAACGTCGGATGCGATTGTGGCCGAGCCAACCTCTATTACCGGGTCCATCGGAATTTTCAGTTACATCGCCACCTTTGAAGAGACCCTGGAGAGGTATGGGGTGCACACCGATGGTGTGGGCACAACAGAAATCACCATGGGTCTAAACCCTTTCACCGGCATTAATCAGCCGATGTCGGATATCCTGCAGGCTCAGGTTGAGCACGGTTATGCGCAGTTTTTAGCCCTGGTTGCGCGGGGCCGGGATATGAGTCTGGATCAGGTTGATGCTGTCGCTCAGGGACGTGTATGGACAGGTGAAACCGCCAAGCAGTTAGGTCTGGTTGATGATCTGGGTGGCCTCCGTACGGCGCAGGAGAAAGCAGCCGAGCTTGCTGGTATAGATAATTGGGAGCCGATCCGGCTGCAGCCGCCGATCGATCCGCGGGCTGCATTTCTGGCGGAGCTGATGATGCCTGAAACCCAGCTGAAGGTGACAAAGGCAAATCCGCTGGCTCAATTGCAGCAGGGTTTAACGATACTGGCTCAGTTTGATGATCCGACCAACAGCTATGTGTTGTGCGAAAGCTGCCTGACAACTAATGCATTAAATCTGCTGCGTTAGGGTTTCTGTTTTTGCCAGTATTCCGCAGCCATATTTTTCACTTCTTTGCGCATCAGGAAAATGCCAATCAGGTTGGGTAGCGTCATCAGTGCAACGGTGATTGCTGATATAAGCCAAACCAGGCTCGTGTCCGCAACGGTTGCCAGGAAAAAACCCACAACGTAGAGCAGACGATAAGGTGTAACCCAACGCGAACCCACCAGGTAGGTGACAGCGCGATCGCCGTAGTACGACCACGCCAGCGCTGTTGAAAAAGCAAACATAACCAGGCCAATGGTGACGACGTATTCACCAAATATGCCGAGGAAGCTGGCCTGAAAAGCCTGCGCGGTGAGCGGAACCGAGTGTAAAAGGGATTTACCCTGTAGCAACAGGTTATCGGTAACCATGCTGCCCTCTGCCACCTGCAGCGTGCCGCTGTAAAGAGTGTTGTCGGCGTAAACGATAACCTCTTCGGCTATTGAACGATTGTGCAGGATAGTTGCAGCATTTCCCTGTATTACGCCGTTGATGACTTCCAGTTCACCGCTGAACGCTTTAACCGGGTCGTTTGCCGGCGGTGATAAATCCAGGTGAGCAAAAAGCTGGCTGACATGTTCCGGGTTCTGGTCGCTGTAGGTGCCGGCAATGATGTGCGTATCAAACTCCGCAAACGGCGTTTCGAATTTCTGTTGCCACACCCCGGAGGACAGAATAACCAAACCAGTTAAGGTGCAGATGATCAATGTGTCGATAAAAGGTTCCAGAATCGACACCATGCCTTCGGAGACAGGTTCTCGGGTCTTGGCGGAGGCATGGGCAATAGGAGCAGACCCCTGCCCCGCTTCGTTTGAATACAGTCCGCGGTTTACACCCCGGTTAAACGCATAGGCAAAACTTGCGCCGAGAAAACCGCCGGTTGCAGCTGAGCCGGTAAACGCATCACTCACAACAGATGCCAGTGCGGGTAGAACATTTTCATAGTTCGACAGCACAACCGCGAGCGCACCAAATGCATAGAGAATGCCCATGAACGGCACCAGGGTGGCGGCAACTACCGCGATGCGCCGAATGCCGCCAACAATGACCAGACCTAACAGGACGGCTAATACGGCGCCGCTGAGCCAGGTTGGAATAGCAAATGATGTCATCAAGCCAGAAGCCATGTTGTTCGCCTGGGGCAGGTTGCCGCTGCCGAAGCTGCTGATGACCGTGGCGATGGCAAAAAACACCGCCAGCCATTTCATGTTGAGACCGTATTCCATGTAGTGCATGGGGCCGCCAACCATGTTGCCCTTGTCATCCTGCTTGCGGTATTTGTGACTGACGGTCACTTCAACAAACTTGGTGGTCATGCCAACAAAGGCGGTTGCCCACATCCAGAATAACGCCGCGGGTCCACCCAGGAAGATGGCTAAGCCAACGCCACCGATATTGCCGGTGCCCACGGTGCCTGACAGCGCTGTGGATAGCGCCTGGAAGTGTGTGGTATCGCCAGGATCATCCTGTTGGGAGTGTTTGCCGCGCAGCACGGACCAGGCATGTTTGAAATACCGAATCTGCGGAAAACCAAGGTAAATCGTGAAAAACAACCCCATTCCCAGCAACACCAGCGGGAAATACGCGGCGCTGCCGAGCAACCCATCGAGGAAATTCAGAGCATCTTCTATCGTTTGCATATGGGCAACTTAAGCTGGGTTTGAGAAGCGAAGCGGCAAGGCTTCCTATTTATCTTTTTCGTCAAACAATGCGCCTGTCATGACGTCGAATAACTTGTTTTGCTCCATGATGCCGCGTACCGCCTCGGCATTTTTGCCTGTAGCAAATGCGGCGACGTCTTCGCCCCCATGGGTTTCAGACGGCAGGGGTACGGTACCCAGCTGCTGGTAGTTGGGTGCGGTTGTATCAATATCGCTCAGGTCGGGTAGCGTTTCCTGATAGCCAGGTCCGTTGGCATAACTCAACGTCGTATAGGGCAAAGCGTTTTCGTCCCGATACATTGGGTTTTCGGGTTGTGGCACCTTGCCCAGGATCGGGTTGCCGCGTGGCGGGTAGCCACTGATGGTCATGGTATGGCTGTGATCTGCGGTAACCAGAATCAGGGTCTCTTCAAGGTCGACCAGTTCCAACGCGGCGGCGACAGCGTCAGACATCGCGACGGTATCGGACAATGCGCGGTAGGCATTGGAAAAGTGATGCGCGTGATCGATGCGGCCGGATTCGACCAGCAGGAAAAAACCTTTTTCATTACTCTGCAGACGTTTGATTGCGAAGGTGGTCATTTCGGCGACCGAGGGCTCCCCGCCCGGATCTCGGACACGGTCTGCCTCAAACTGCATATGTGAAGGTTCGAACAGCGCCATGTATTGTTTGTTGGGGTTGCTGTCAAATTTTTCAAAGTCAGCTTTGTTCCACGCATACATACGATTGTTGGCTTTGTTCAGCCATGCCTGCACCAGGTTTTTGCCGTCGTCTCGTGCGCCAGTCCTGTCCGCGTATTCAGGGTCAGTGGTGGTGTCGGGATAAAACTGGGCTCTACCGCCACCTAGAATAACGTCAATGCCGTCGCCGTGTTCCATGTCTACCAGTTGCTGGGCGATGTCTTTGCAGCCAAAAGCGCGATGCTCATCAGTCATTTCACTACTGTTTTCCCAGTCACGATCGGGTGAATGAGCGTAGGTGCCCGCGGGTGTTGCGTGGGTGATGCGTGCAGTGGAGATCACACCTGACGCATAGCCGGCCGATTCCGCCAGTTGCAAAATGGTGGGCAATTCGTGGTTCAGCGCTTTCACACAGTCACCGCGGGGGACATCAGAGGTCACACTCAGCACACCCATACGGGTTTTCTGTCCGGTGACAATCGCCGAAATGGTGCCTGCGCTATCGGGTACCTGAGCGTCAGTGTTGTAGGTCTTAATCAGGGCGAGGTTTTCAAAGCGATCAAAGGCAAGATCGTATTCTTCACCGTCCAGGCCCTGTTGTTGCCCGGCAAAAATACGTGCCGCGGTCACGGTGCTGATACCCATTCCGTCGCCCAGGAAAAGAATCACGTTTTTGGCCTGAGCCACATTGCTTAACAGCAGGCCTGTGCTTACGGATGCGATTAAAAGTAGATGTTTCATAAGGGTTATGCCTCTCGGGATTTTTCGCGCAATGTGACTAACTCTTCCGCAGCAGTAGGATGAATGCCAACCGTTGTGTCAAATAGCTTCTTGGTCGCGCCTGCCACGATCGCGACCGCGATACCCTGGATGATCTCTCCGGCATCAGGGCCCACCATATGTACCGCCAGCACAACATCATCAGAACGACGCACAATCATTTTCATGTAAGTGCGCTCGTCGCGTCCGCTGAGGGTGTGTTTCATGGGTTTAAAAGTGGATTCATAGATGTCCAGATCACCGCCATGTAAGGCAACAGCTTCAGCTTCCGTTGGACCCACCGTACCGATATTGGGTTGGCAGAAAACTGCGGTAGGAATGGTGTCGTAATTGAGGTGTATTTTTGGCCGATCGGTAAACAGATTGTTGGCAATGCACATGCCCTCTTCAATGGCTACCGGGGTTAACTGAATTCTGTCAGTGACGTCACCGATGGCATAGATGTTCGGGACATTGGTCTGATAATCCTCATTCACCTGAATTTCGCCGCGTGCGCCAAGTGTTACCCCGGCTGCATCCAAGCCCAGGTTTTCGGTGTTGGGGTGGCGTCCTGTGGCATACAACACAAGATCTGCTGAAATCGTGGAACCATCTTTCAGGTGCACTATGCGCGTGTCACCGTCGCGTTCGATTCGTTCAACGTCGGTGTTAAAGCGTAGATCGATGCCTTTTTTGGGTAACTCATCTTTCACAAACTCACGCACGGAATCATCGAAACCACGCAAAAACAAAGGGCCGCGATAGAGCTGGATGGTCTCGGCGCCTAAGCCGGCAAAAATGCCGGCAAACTCGACCGCGATATAACCGCCGCCAACTACAACAACCCGTTCGGGAAAGGTATCAAGATAAAATGCTTCGTTAGAAGTGATGACATGTTCTGCACCGGGAAACTCCGGCACTGTGGGCCATCCGCCGGTTGCGATAAGAATGTTTTCTGCGGTGAAGCGTTGTCCATTGACCTCTATCGTGTGTGCATCAATGAGTTTTGCATGACCTTCATGCAGATCCACGCCGGCATTCTGGAGAAGATTACGATAGATCCCGTTCAGCCTTTCAATCTCTGCTGTCTTGTTATCGCGCAAAGTGGGCCAGTCGAAACCGTTGACGCTGACATCCCACCCATAGCCATTTGCGTCGTTAAAGTCTTCGTGAAAATGTGAGCCATAAACAAACAATTTCTTCGGCACGCAACCGACATTAACGCAGGTGCCACCCAGATAAGTAGACTCTGCTACCGCCACTTTGGCACCGTAACTTGAAGATATTCGGCTGGCGCGCACGCCACCTGAGCCTGCGCCCAGTACATACAGGTTGTAATCGTATTCCATAAGATCCAGGTAAGTTGTCAAAGACGTATACAGGGCTGCAGCCTAAGTAAGTTCCCGCGTCTGCGCAAGACAACACACTGTTTACAGTTCCGTGCTAGACCCTCTGGATCTGCCCCCCTAAACTGCTGGATTACCCAATTACGGTTCCCCTGTCATGGCACAAAACGGCGCCCAGGCTCTGCTGCAGACACTTGTCGATTGTGATGTGGACGTTTGTTTCACTAATCCCGGCACGTCAGAAATGCATTTTGTGGCTGCTCTGGATCAACAGCCGGGTATGCGGGCAATCCTTGGGTTGTTTGAAGGCGTTGTCACAGGCGCTGCCGATGGCTATGGACGTATGGCAGGTAAGCCCGCCTGCACGCTTCTGCATCTGGGTCCAGGCCTGGCGAATGGGCTGGCTAATTTACATAATGCGCGTCGCGCGCATACCCCTATTGTGAACATAGTTGGTGAACACGCCACCTATCACAGAGCGTTGGATGCTCCGTTAACCTCCGATATCGAGGGTTTTGCCCGCCCGGTTTCGGGTTGGATTGTCGTCAGCGAGCATGCAGAAGATGTGGCTCGTGATGGGGCGCGAGCAGTACAGGCTGCTTTTGCCGGCGCAGGCCAGATTGCGACGTTGATCCTGCCTGCGGACAGTGCCTGGAATGAATCTCCGGGTCCTGCTGCCCCGCTCCGGCGACCGATGAAATCTGTAGTGGCGGCCAGCCGGATTGAAGCTGTCGCGCAGGTGTTGCGTCTTGGTGAGCCCACTGTGCTGTTGTGTAACGGTGACGCGGTAAGTGAGCAAGGTCTGGGTTTGCTGGGCAAAATTGCTGCCGCAACAGGTGCATCCCTCATGGGGGATACATTTATCGGCCGTATTGAACGTGGTGCCGGTCGGGTCGAAATTCCCAGGCTGCCTTATTTTGCCGAGCAGGCTGAAGCCGCGCTACAGCCTTTTCAGCATGTCATCATGGTGGATACCAAGGCACCAGTCAGTTTTTTTGCGTACCCGGGTAAAGCCAGCAGACTGACCCCAGAACATGCCAGCGCACATACGCTGGCTGAACCTGGAGAAGACATCTTGCAGGCGTTGGCAGATCTGGTTGATGCATTGGATGCTGCCGGCGTCGCGGCACCTGTGACCCAACTGGCACGGCCGGAATTGCCACGCGGCGCGTTAACCCCGGAGTCTGTTGCGCAAAGTGTTGCCGCACTGATGCCGGAACAGGCGATTGTTGTGAATGAAGCGGCAACAGCAGGATTTGCCATGCCGGCGTTTACCGCAACGGCACCCAGCCACAGCTGGCTGGATCTGACCGGTGGCGCAATTGGTATGGGCATTCCCGCAGCCACCGGCGCCGCGGTGGCCTGCCCAGACCGCCCTGTGCTGAGTCTGCAGGCCGATGGCAGCGGCATGTACACGCTGCAGGCGCTGTGGACCCAGGCGCGGGAGAATCTGAACGTGACCACGGTCATTTTCTCCAATCGCAAATATGCCATTCTGCAGGTTGAATTTATGCGTGTAGGTGCCGTGAATCCAGGGCGTAAAGCTATGGATATGATGGAGCTCACCCGCCCTGATTTAGACTGGGTTGCCCTCGCCCAGGGTATGGGGGTTGAGGCCGTGCGGGTCGACAGTGCGGATGTCTTTAACCAGGCATTAGTTGCAGCGCTGGCTAACAATGGACCCAACCTCATCGAGGCCGTGCTTTAGTTGTTCAACACATTGATAGATTTTGGATAGACAGATTTTATGAAGATTTCAATTTTTGGTACAGGCTATGTGGGATTGGTTACCGGTACCTGCTTTGCAGAAATGGGTAACGACGTCTTATGTGTAGACATCGATGCAGCCAAAGTCGCCCGCCTGCAGGCCGGCGAAGTGCCTATATTTGAGCCCGGTCTTGAAGCCATGGTGCAGAGCAACGTAGCTCAGGGCCAGTTGGCGTTCACCACAGACATTGCCGAAGGGGTCAACCATGGCGATATTATTTTCATCGCCGTAGGTACACCCAGCGATGAGGATGGCTCTGCGGATCTGCAATATGTTCTGTCTGTGGCCAATAGTATTGGCGAACATATGCAGTCTGAAAAAGTCATTGTGGATAAGTCTACAGTGCCAGTGGGGACCGCTGATCAGGTGCAGGCCGCCGTTGCAGCGGCTCTGGCACAGCGAAATGTGGAGATTCCATTTCATGTGGTATCCAACCCGGAGTTTTTAAAAGAAGGTGCCGCGGTTGCAGATTTCATGAAGCCGGACCGTGTGGTGATTGGTTCTTCCAGCGCACGTGGTGCACAGGTGATGGATCAGCTGTATGCGCCTTTCAATCGCAACCATGACAAGATTGTCCACATGGATGTGCGCTCAGCTGAACTCACCAAGTATGCGGCCAACGTGATGCTGGCAACGCGGATCAGCTTGATGAATGAGATGGCCAACCTTGCCGAGCGGCTGGATGCAGACATTGAATCTGTACGTCGTGGTATTGGTATGGATCCGCGGATTGGCTACCACTTCATATATGCGGGCACCGGTTATGGTGGCTCCTGTTTTCCTAAAGACGTCAAAGCCCTTATTCATACCGCCAGCGAAGCTGGCTACGATGCGCAGATAGTGAGCAGTGTAGAGGCCGTTAATGCCGCGCAGAAACGCGTGCTTTTTGACAAGATCCACCACCACTTTGCCGGCGATCTGGCAGGTCGTACCTTTGCCATGTGGGGGTTGGCGTTTAAACCTAATACAGACGATATGCGTGAGGCGCCCAGCAGAACGTTGATCGACCTGTTAACGGCGGCAGGTGCAAAAGTGCGCGCTTATGATCCGGAAGCGAATGATGAAGCCCGCCGTATCTATGCCAACAACCCGAGCCTGGAGGTATGCGAGCGTCGCAGCCAGACCCTCACCGATGCAGATGGCCTGCTGGTTGTGACCGAGTGGAACGAATTCCGCAGCCCGGATTTTGCCGGTATCAAAGCCGCGCTGAAAGAGCCGGTTGTTTTTGATGGGCGTAATCTATACGACCCGGAACTGTTGCGTCAGCAGGGGTTGCGGTATTACGGCATTGGTCGGGGCAACGATTTTAAGTAGCACAAACCTGCCGAACTGATCTCTACGCTTGATACTGGTTATTTATACAGTTATCCTGATCGACCCCTGTAAACAAATGCAGCGTTGTGATGGATCTTTTTGCAGCAGAAGAAAATACTAACCGGCCAGACCTGCAGGACATTAAAAACAAGCTGCTGCGTCACCCCAATCTGTGGCGCGCCGGCCAGCTGGCACAACAGGGTCAGTCGCAAACACCCGGCATTCCCACCGGATATAAACAGTTGGATGGACATTTGCCTGGCCAGGGTTGGCCTGCCGCGGGCTTAATGGAATTCATGCTGACCTCAGCGGGCATTGGTGAGCTGCGCCTGTTGGTACCGGCGCTGCAGCAACTCAGCCGCAACGAAGCGCGCTGGTTAACCTGGATCAACCCGCCGTTTATCCCTTATGCGCCGGCGTTGCAGTCTGTAGGGATTGATACCAGCAGAATTTTACTGATCCATCCACGAACACACCTTGATACCTTGTGGGCACTGGAGCGCGTCTGTAAGTCGGGTAGCTGCAGCATAGCGCTGGCCTGGCTCGATGAGAAAAAACTCAAATTGAAAGACACTCAGCGCCTGCAGGTGGCAGCCAAACAGGGACGTACGTTAACGTGCCTGTTCAGGCCCAGAACGGCGTTAACCCAATCCAGCATGGCGGAATTACGTTTAGCGCTGGGTCACCTCAAACCCGGTCAGGTGTCTGTAGATATTCTGAAGCGTCGCGGTGGCTGGCCGGTGAATAATGTGGTGCTGCCGGTGGCGCAAACAACGGATACTGATTATCCCGAAACGGCTGAAATGCAGCATCACCTGGAAGTGTGGCGCGCTTTTACACAGCAGGGTCAAGGCAAAGCCAAGGCAGCCAATGTTGGCGAGGCGACGCCAGAGGTACTGTTTGGCTCACCTTCAGCGGTAGAGCCCTCACTTCCGCTGCCACACTGACATGCTCTGGCTGGCCATACACTTCCCGCGTCTGCCGCTGGAAATTTTCACTCTCGCCCCAGTTGGGAAAGAGGTTGGGAAAGAGAAAGAGAAAGAGGCTGAGACGGAACAACCTTTTGTCATTCTGGAAAACAATCGAGTGTGTTTGCGTAATCAGGCCGCCCAGAGTGGCGGCATTACCTTGGGCACCACTCTGGCAACTGCGCACAGCATATTGCCCGGCCTTAAATACAAACATCGTGCGCCACAGGCTGAGCTGAAGAAATTAACCAGCCTGGCAGATACGCTGTACCGCTTCAGCAGCTATGTCAGCGTGCAAGCGCCAGATTGTGTGCTGCTGGAAATAGGCGCCAGTTTAAAATTGTTTGGCCATCCGGAGCAACTCAGTGAACAGGTCTGCGCGCTGTGTCATGAGCTGGGGCATCAGGCAGTGGTGCGTGTGGCGGCAACACCCTGGGCTTCTATTGCCCTGGCCCGTTCCGGGCAACGCACCCTGGCCCAGGTGCCTCTGGCTGATGCAGGGCTGGAGCTGGCCGGTATCAAGGCAGACGTGGTTGAACGTTTTGCCAATATGGGAATTTATGCTCTGGGCCCATTGTTGAACATGTCCGCTAAATCGTTGGGCCGGCGTTTTGGCAAACCACTGCTGACTTATCTGGCTCAGTTAACAGGTCATCTGCCAGATCCGCGTATAGCCACCTCCCCTGCTGCAACATTCAGCCAGGCCCTGCATCTGTTAGACCCTATTCGCGATAAAGATACGTTACACAAATATGCCTTCAGCCCCATGTCCAAACTGTTACAGGCATTACAACACTGGCTGATCACACATCAGCTGGGCTGCGAGGCTCTGGTCTGGGTGTTTTCCAGTCACCAACAAGAGCGTGTAGAGGTGCCGCTGCGTTTCACCAATGGTAAGCAGAGCAGTCAGGAGTTGCTTAAAATCAGTCAGTTGAAGCTGGATCAGGCGGAAC